GGGCGCAAAGTTCAAAGTTAAAAGATTAAGACTTCAGTTAAATTAAACGATAATTTTAAATAAAGATCCCTTCTCATTATTCCTAAAACTTAAAAACTGAGAAAGACAAATTAAAACTAAAATAATTAAGCAAATTCCTAAATATAAATTAAGAAAAATTGATTTCGAGGTAAATTATCCAAATTATAATCAAATTAATAAGAAGGAGATTTTATATCCCCGATATAAAATTTATAAAATTCGTTTCCTAAATTCGTTTCGGGGTTGATTAATTCATAAACCGGTCCAATCCCAGGGTAAAGTACTTAAATGTATTGATCTAAAAACGGACAATCAGGACGTAACAGGTGCATATTTTATGCACCATTCCGCGGCCGCCATTCGCTATCTAAGTGGGCTCGACCGGCATCGTCGGCATAAGATGTTTTGCATCAATTTTAATCGTCTTAAAATCCGCGTATTTTGTATACAACGTGTATACAAAACGGCTGTTTATTATGCGTCCCACGCCGATTCGCCGAATACAGCCGAGCACCGCCGACGAGATGAGATCTTATCTTGGCGACATACGAAAACAACTGAACATCGCCGAAAAAATAATTAAAGATAAAAACATATCGGAGCGGCGGCGGCGGCTTAATTACTCACGATCCGATCCGAATCCGATCGAATCTATTCGAATATCGAATTGCAGCGGTACAAAAAGCTACCCTCCGCTCCGAGAGATCAGATCTTCTTTGAATCGAGACTCACTTCCACGAGCTGATCCACGCTCCGTTCCTAAAGAACTCAGTACTTGAAGTGAGAGCAATCCGCCCGCGTCAGGAAATTACCGGCGGACTGAGCGAATCCAGAAAACCTCCGCATCCTAGTCCGACGAGAGAAATATATCAGGTAAGGATCGTTCCCTGCCTCCAGAAATTACCAGTACCGTTGAATTCTAACATCGATTTTAATCAGCCCGAAAAAGCGCACAAACTGAGATGAGGGTAACCTGCTTCCGCCCGGAAGTTGCCGGTCGGCTGCGCCTCCATATAAGATCCTAATTCTCCATCCAAATTTCGCCATCGATACGCGTCGCGCCGCAAAACGCAAACGCGATTAGTTCGGGAGGGGCAAACGCGGTACTTTGTAACGCCTCGCCACGAATTAAGTTCGCGTTGCGATATTATAAAAAATAGCGTCGTGCGTTATCAGGTACGCGGGATTGACAACACGCCGCGACCATTATTTTCGTTTTGACACCCAAGCGCTATCCCGAGATTTGTTGACCGTCGTAAAAAGTACCCGTCTGCAACGCGCGACTTGCGAATCGCGCGTTATTCGCGTGCGACTGAAATAAATTGTAACAATTGTTACAATATAAATTATCATCGATCGAACATTGTAACATATTATATTTTGTATCAACATCGATACTTGTACAGCCAATATTTTATAATCAATCAATTATTCAATAAATTAATTGTTAAGTTTACACGGACGTCTGACGACTAATTAATCGTACGATCGACAAGCTATTCCGCACTCAAATTAAACACATCCGATTCAGACGAGGAAAAACGGAAGCGTCCCGTTTGACCACGTTAATATTGACCACAGTCCTAATTGACCACGTTGCGATTGGCCACATTGCAATTGATCACCATCTCGATTGACCACCGTCCCGATTGACCATAGTCCTGATTGATCACAGTTCTGTTTGGCCATAATCCCATTTGACCACCGTCTCGATTGATCACCATCCAGATTGGCTATTTTGAAATTGATCATATTCAATGTACTAGTGTTAACTTATTAGATAATATGCGCTATCGGAAAAAAAATGCATTTCTTTCTGATAGTGCACATCCTAAATAGTCAACGACTATATGTGCTATCGGAAAAAAGATCGTGTTTCTACATAGGGGTAGTTTCTACATTGCGAGGTCCATCTCCACCCTCCCCGCCCCCGATGCTTATAGGCAAAACGAAATCCACGTTATATTCCACGTACGTTTTTGAATAACTATTTTTAGGTAAAACTTACACTATTATTACACGAAATGATGAATATAAATATAGTGACAATTATATAATACATTTGATATATTATATTTCATAATCTCTGGAAAACTAATTCTTCTTTATATATTATCAAGATTTAAGATTAATTACTATTGCAACAGTAAGATTCGGCAGAGTTAGGAGAAAACGAATATCCCGCGTATTAGAATAGACTACACATATTATTTGATATGAAGTAAAAAAATACTATTAATCACAATGATAACAACAGTACATTAAATATAATCAATTTCAAAATAGCTAATCTGGACGGTGTCCACCGGGATTATGGTCAATCGGGACGGTGGACAATCGGGACGGTAGTCAATTGCAAAGTGGTCAATATCAACGTGGGCAATCGCAATGTGGCTAATTGCAACGTAGTCAATTGGGACTGTGGTCAATATTAACGTGGTCAAACGAATGCTACTCGGGAAAAACTACTCCGTTTTAAGTTTGTCCCCATACTTTTTTGCATTGCTCCTTTTGGCAAGAGTACAAAATTTGATGTGAGCGATATAGTCAGTATCATATATTCTGTTGAATATCCTGTGCAGAATCACCATGCCTCTCCTATTTAAGAGTTTTGATTTGATGGCATTTCATCTGATCCCATCGTTTTGTTGTTTTTTGCGAAGTATATTGCTTTTTTCAATTTTTTCTGTTGTAATTGGAGGCTTTATAAGATCGTTATTGTTTGTTTCTTCTCTAATATTTGTTCGATTATTTAAAAACAGGTTTCCTATGTATTTTTCTCATATTATCTCTTTCTCGTGTTTTGTAGTTATTTCATTATCTTCATTTACCATTATGGACAAATTTTTCCTTTGATAGATTCCAACTGTTTTTTTAATCTTTTATGTAGATTGAAATCATCATATAGTGCTTGTAACTTTTCTATCTCCTCGTATTCCTATTTCAGCCATTGATTTTTTATTAATCAATATTTGTTATTATTTCGTTCTGAACGCATTTATAATTATTTTTATCTGTTTTTATATTTCCGATGTTCATTAATAATAGAATTTCTTCCGTTATTCAGCCATATTTTCGTTTTTGTTTTGTATCTTAAATTGTTTCTTGTTAAATTTATTATTATATTTTTCATTTCTTCTCGTATATGTATTATGTTTTTTCTTTTTCATC